AAATCTAATTAGCTTGACAGGTTGTGGATCTGATAGATATCAATATTTCAGGCAGTTTTGACAACCTATATCTGGCAAATATTAAGCTGAAATTTTTATTGTTACTAGAAATGATAAAGATGGTTTTTTGATAGAAATTTCAACTTTCTATCACCTTGTATCCATTCAAGAGTTTGTTTCTAAAATTGGATTTTTAATGAAAATTGTAATTTTGAAATGAAGTTTTCATCTCAGAAGTAGAATAGATTGGATGCTGACATTAAGAAGTTGAAAGTTTTCTCTGATATATAAAACTTGAGGGCCGAATCTATAGAAACAATCGAGAATAAGATTTCACTTCGAAATCAAAATGATGGATTCATCGGTGAAGTAATCAGAAGCCTAAAATTTCAATACATGATAATTACTTGAGTGCAGCATGCTGAATCGAAGACTTACAGCTGTAGGACTTGTGTGAAAGTGTTTCTCATTGATAACTTACCGTCGGCATCCTAAAATATCGGATTAACCATTAAGCATTAACGTCGATAATTGATTCTATTAATAATTCTTTTTATAAAAACCATTATATAGTAGCAAGACACTATAAATGTGCTTGCTTTCGTGCTTGATATAGTTAGTTTATCAATAATTGTAGATTCTAAAATCTCAGTTTTATTAATACCAATAAAATTGAGACTTATAGTTGCAAACTGAGCGATAATGCATCAGATAGAGTATCTTCAAAAATCTAGATTTTATTGACTTCATGTAATGAAAACGTATTGGAAGCAGAGGGAACGAGTCGTATTAAATAATTCATTTTGGGTGAGGCATAAATTTACTTCAATTATGAGTTTCGTGATTGACAATTTCTGTAAAATTTTGGTTTTGAAATTCAAAACTGCAACACGAATGTCTGATTACTTCCTGAATATTATTGCATCATTGTTGCGTTTCTTCTGGGTGACGATTCTAATAAGAAGAATGACTTGTCGTTTCATCTTCTCACATTTACCGGAAGCATACAGGGTGCATATTGTTCATAGAAGGTGTTCTTGGATCTTTGAAATATCTATTGTGAATTATGGATGAGCAACAAATTCAAACAAGTGCTCCACAGAAACTCACCAACCTAGAACACTATACTCTATTTATTATCGTTCATTAGAATTTCAGGCTTATCATTAACTTTTCAATGAATCCATCATTTTAACTTCAAAGACAAACCTTGTTCTCAACCACTTTCAGAGATCCCATCCTTAATTTTATATGAAATTATAGACTTAAAAGAGAATTTCTAATTTCTAAATATCAGTATCCAATCAATTCTATTTTTTGAATGAAAACTTCATTTCAAAATTACAATCTTCATCAATAATCCAATTTTAGAAACGAACTCTTGAGTGGACACAAGATGATAGAAAACTGGAATTTCTATCAAAGATAGGTGTTTATCATTTCTAGTAACAGGAAAAATTTTAGTTTGATGTCACTCTGCATTTGCAAGATATAGGTTGTCAAAACTGTCTGAAATATTGATTTTCGTCATTTTTGTCAGATTCATAACATACCAAGTTAACAAGGGAACAACTCAAACTGGTATCAACTGTTTGAGCTCATATTGAGTTCACAAGGAGGTCTCGATAAGACAAAAAAATTCCTCAAAGAAACAGATTAAATAAGTAATAGAATGTCCGAAAAGTTTTGGGCGAAAAGATTATTCCTTTATCGAGATATTATATTTCCAAAAAATGATCGTTTGCCACAGATATGCTATAAAAATCGAGTTTACTTGAAAATTCAGTATTTCAATAATGGCATATTCTTTTCAGATGAAACTTTCAGAATATTCTACTAGTCATTTGACTCATTTATGGGCGAAATTTCAGATCGAAATACTGTTATTTGATTTTTCAGTAAATAGCTAAAACTTGATCGAAAATTCAATAAAACAGTCATATCAAGGCTCCAGAGCCCTATGGAAACAAATTCTTTTACGATTTTTCTTGTAGTCATAGGCATAAAGATTTTTAAGGAAACTTCAGCTCACGATGAAATATTCTGAACTGTCCAATCGCTTTTTGATCGAGTATATACTCAAATGATAGATCTTAATGAGCTATTAAACACACTACAAGGATTTGGTTTTCCAGACATGCTGAGTAGAGATATATGGTTATTACTATTATTAGTTTTGTCATATTACTGTATTCACATATTTGATATCTTGAATAACCACACTCCGATCCAGCTCAAATTTATATCAATACTAAGTGCCTTAGTACTGATTAAGGTCTCAGAGTTTGAAGATAAATCAATGGTTTTTTTCATCGAAAATATGAATTTGTTTGACATATCAATTGATTATGTTAGCATTTGTGTGGAAATGTTAGCTCATTTATCAGTACTTTAGTTGATAAGAATTAGAATAATGAATTCGCGTAGTTTTCACTATTGAACATATGGTATTGATATATTAAACTTAATTCTTGTAAAGATGTTGATATCTAGCATGTATATTTTACTGACTGAAATACAATCTGGTTTTTTTTTGTTTGAATACATCATTTGCATAGAATAGCTGATAATTGAAATCGGCAAACAGACGCAATTGTGTACTGATGTGATCGAAAAGAGGATGGTATGTAAAGTGAAAGAAAGTGTGTCTAGAGGAAGCATCTTTCAAACTCCATCCGATGTATTCTTCCGTTGACAGTGAAAAATCTATGGTCGTCGCCTAAATGATCGACTTCTTCTATATAAAATATGGACATAGATGTCACGGAATCCAATAATATACTTAAACTGCAGTTATTTATTCTTAATCATGAGTCAACACCTGCATCTTTGAGCAAAATCATATCTTGTTTTTCAATAGTCAATCGATATGTCAAACAAATTCACATTTCCGATGAAAAAAAACATTGATTTATCTTCAAATTCTGGGATCTTAATCAGTACTAAGTTCCTTAGTATTGATATAAATTTAAGCTGGATCGGACTATGTTTATTCAAGATGTCGAATATGTTAACAGACTAATATGACAAAACTAGTAATAGTAATAATCATATATCTTTGCTCAGGAGGTCTGGATAACCGAACCTCGTAGTGTGTTTAATAGTTCGTTAAAATCTACCGTCTGAGTATATACTCGATCAAAAAACGATTGGGCAGTTGGAGATATTTCCTCGTCAGTTAAATAGATAACCCATTCCCTGAATATTTCGCTTACAAAAAACAGCTGTTTGAAAGTTAAGAATTTCGGAGTTTTTTTTTTTTCTTATAAAAATTTCATTAGAATACGGCGATATTTTTGCAAATGGTTTGCATCAAAATTCCAAAAAGCCTTTCTTTATACCATGCTGTGCTGACATTTATATCACTCTCTCATTGATATTCTCACTTCCTTCTTCCTTTCATTTCCTTCTCATTCTCTATGTAGTTCTTTCTGGTATTTATCTATGTCCTATATAAACTTATATTGAATATTAGATAGTCGCATTCTGACGATGTAAAGTAGCTTAATAAACATCATTATCGAGTAGGCATGTGCCGAATCCAAACTATTCGCGGGGGTTAACCCAATGACCTAAAAAATCGAAAAAATTGCACTCAAATAATGAAACGAATAGAGACCGTGATGCATTTCAAATTTACTGTTTAAAACGAATACTTTCATCAATTTTATTTCATGATTTTGATTAAAAATCAAAACTCCAAAATGCCATTTTTTTATATGGAATTCACGAATATCATGAATTTTCTTTTTAATTTTTTTAAGTCTATGAGGAATTCAGTTATTAAGTTTGAAGAAGAAGTAAGTCATTAGAAATGATTTTAAGGTTGGCTATGGTAAATCTACAGACAACAAAATAAATGATCTAAAAACTCAAGAGATAAATGTCATCTAGAAGAAAGTTAACGATGCGTAAGAACACCCGAATTCAAACTCGACTAAACCTTACGATGCTCCCATTATCATCCATATACCTCAAGAAACGCTTAGACAATAACCTAAATACTCAACACTATCTGAACTGCTCATTTTGGAAAACAAACTGCTTTGTGCATGTTATGCCTAGTTCCATTCTATAACAGACAAACAAATTGGTAGCATATTCTATTAATAAACAATATTATGTATTAAAAAATTTAAATATGATTGGCCGTAAATAGAAATTAATCTGTTTAAAAATATCAACGAATTAATTAATAATGATGCTAGTAAAAGTTTTTAAAATAGAAATGTATATATTTTCTTTTTCTTTAAATGATTAATATAAACTGAAAAAAGAGGTTACTGTTGTTCTTAACGAACATACAAGTACTACATGTAAAAGTGCATTAAATACAAAATACTCGTTTTTTTAAAAACATCTTCATTCAAAATTTTTTCTTTCATCTAGTTTCTATTAGCAATACTTTTATAATCAAAATGTGAAAAATTTTCTATTTCTGTCATTATTTGCGATAATCTCTCGCGAAAATAACATGCGAACACAATAGTAATATTTATTTATCAAATTGAATGCTATTGTATTCTTAAATAAATTAATAAAAACTTTATGACTTTCTCGTTGACATAATTCTAATACTTAAAGTTTTCAATTAGTCTTTCCTCTCTTTTCTATTCAATAAAGATAAAAATTACATTGTATGTTTTAGTTCTCATTTCTATCATGAATGTATCAACTTCTCTTTTTATTATTAATGTCAGTATGTAATAAAAAAATTTCCCTTACAATAAAATGTACCACGAATGTCATAAGTTTTAAATAAAAATTTTTTATCTTGAAGTACAGTGTTTTTAATTATCTGTATATTTTTCGATGTAAATGATTCATTTTTATATATGTTAAAAATTACACTTCGAAGTACTTTTTTTCTTTAATGCTTGTAATTTATTAGTTTGAAATGTTAAAGTAAACTTTAATATTTATTTTTATTTATTGTTTTTAAAATTTTACATTAACTTTTTTCATTAGGTTTTTTTTTTGTTTTATCAAACGAAATTGTGTCACCAAAAATTAGCGCGTTTACGCCAAAAATTAGCTCGTTTCCAAAAATTTGCTCGACGAACAGGCAATGATGTACTGGGTCGATTGTTTTGATCATATTCGTTGTGTAATTCTGAAAATTTAGTTAATAATTGTGACCATACTTCATAATCATTGTCTTCAGAATTTAAATCATCTGAATTCGAATACAATAATGGTCTCATTCGTATAAAATCAGCAACAATATCATCGTCATTATTATTATTATTGTTAGCTTTCAATAAACTTGTTGATAAAGGCTGACTAGACGTGCATTGAAAAAGGAAAAAGAAAAATGACATGCATATGCATGTTGTTGCTAAATGAAAGAAATAAATCGAGAAATTGAAATATATGTATTAATAAAAAGTAACATACTCAAACGAGAAATTTCTTTCGAATTCATTGTGGTGATGAAGAACATCAAAATGAAGAATGGTGCTATAACTAACACGATTGCGCTTAGTTGTTATTGGAATGCGTTTCTTTTTTGAAGAAATGATGAAAAAAAGAAATACAGAAAGGAGAAAAAAAAGAAGAACAAGAACAAGAATATTTCTTTTATTTGGAATTTATCTATACGATAGGAAAAATCATAATGTTTTGCAGAGCCTTGCAACGACTCATTATTACTAACGGTGGTCACACTCCCTACTTCTAGTCGCCCACCTCGACACTTAAAATACAAGTAGAGTATGATTTAATATAAACACATGATACATTATTTTTTCCTCAACTCAAGTGTTTTATAACATTTCTCTCTACGTATCATTGGATCAAACTACTTTTCATTTCCGTCTCTTTTATTTACATACATTGCTATAAAAAAAATCAGCGTGAAGAAACAGATTAATACATTTATTAAAACAGCCGCTCTATGCTTTTATTATTCAACATACAACAATTATCTAATACTTTTTTTAAATTTTAATTATAATGTAAAAAGGTTATTCTATTTTGTCTATTTAAAATATATAACTGATTTAGAAAAAATGTTGCCGTCATTTAAAATACGCATGTCTTCTATTCATTTTGTTTGCATAAACTTACTCGTGCATAAATGTACAATAAAATTGTTCCTATTCCTTCAAATTTTATGAGGATTTATCCTTGATCTTCTAATGAACAAGGTTGATTGGTGATCAATACAAAATAATAGTCAAATATGATGTCATTTGTTGAATATTTAACAAATAAATAATAAATTACTTTCAGTTAAAGTGTTTAATGTAGAAATCATGACAAACCGATAGAACACACGTAAATTTTTATGTATAAATTTTTCGATGTTTACAACTAATATATCTCCTAGTTTTAACAATCGAGACCAGTACGATCTGTAAAGACATTGGTTTTATTAAACTGTACAATGTTTTATTTAGTTTTCATTTTCTTTTGTGAGAAAAATCTCTTAATCAATAATGACTACAATAATCACATTATGATACTCCGTATGACAAGCAATAATAAGGATTTAGTACTTTAACACTCACAAGAGAACATTTTCAACTATCAAATCGCTTTTTGATCGAGTATATACTCAAACGATAAACTTCAGTGAGCTATCATATATCCTACAAGGGTTTAGTTTACCAGACCCCCAGAGCAGGGATATGCGATTATTACTATTACTAGTTTTCCTGTACTACTATACTAGTAGACTCGATATCTTGATTAAACATGCTTGGATCCAGCTCAAATTTATATCAATACTAAGGTACTCAGTACTGATTAAGATTTCAAAGTTTGAAGATAAATCATTGTTTATTATCGAAGATATGAATCTGTTTGGTCTACTGATTGATTATTAAAAAATAGCATGTATTCTTGCTTAAAGATGAAAGTATGAATTCATCTGATATTTTCAGCGCACATTCATTTCATAGTGAAAATGCTTGTGAAAATATTAGCTTATTTGTTGGTGCTTTAATTAATAAAAACTGAAAGAAAAATTCATGTACTTTACATCATGTGATCTATTTTCAGTCACATATTTATAAATCAGAATAGAATCAACAAAAACAACAAAAATGGAGTGAATCATTTAATCACTGGAAGTGATAGTTGTTGAAAAAATGTTCCATACATAGTATATAGTCACGATAAATTGTACCCAATGAATAAACATGAGAAACAAATCATATTCATGATATTTGTAATAGTAGTAGAAATTAATTATTGTGATTAAATATATATGTATATTCAACGCGGATATAGCTCATCCAGATACTCCTTCTTCACTTTACATATAATTCTCTTGCCAACTACATCAGCATACAAATAATGCTCTTTACCGATTTCGACAATCAACGATTCTATGCAAAGAACGCATTCAAACAAAAAAAAAGATTTAATTTGGATCAGTGAAATACATAAGCAAGATATCGACACCTATGAAAAATTAAGTTTAGTATATCAGTACCGTATGTTCATCATAAAAGTTTACGAATTCATGGTTCCAATTTTTATTAATTAAAGCATCGACACCTGACCTGACATTTCCACATGCATGCTCACCATGAATGAATGTGTGCTGAGAATATCAGATGAATTCATACTTGAATCTTTAAGCAATAATACATGCTGCTTTTTAATAATTAATCAGTATGTTAAATAAACATATATCTTCGATAATGAACAATGATTTATCTTCAAACTCTGAAACCTTAATCAGTACTGAGTATCTTAGTATTCATATAAATTTGAGTCGAATCGGAGCATATTTAATCAAGATATCGAATATATTAGTATAGTAGTACAGAAAAACTAGTAATAGTAATAATCGCACATTTCTGCTTTGGAGGTCTGGAAAACCAAACATTATAGGATATATGATACCTCACAAGGTCTATTGTTTGAGCATATATTCGATCAAAAAGCGATTTGATAGTTAGGGATATTCTCTCGTGAAAGAAGAAAAGGAGTCAGAAGATTTTATAAAAATAATGAGTCTACCAACAAAGATGTTCATTATTGGATCATATACTTTCAATTTTACAACCATATGTCCATGGCAACATCGATTTTTATCGAAAAGATCAACTTTTTTTGGGCAAAGAAGACAACATGGAAAGTATCCAAAAGAATATATTCTCAAGTTGATTATGTAATCACAGATTTTCGATAGTAAAACCATGTACTGATCTCACTTTTGATATCTTCGACAGTGATCAACTTTTCTTAAGTGGAGGGAGAGGCTTGATTCATTTTCGAACTATTACATAATCTCTTTTACAATAGTCAAATCAATCACAAGCATTTGTATTTAAAGTATCCTTTTAGTTGCTTTTTAAGTGTGAAATTTCTATTCTAGAATTAAGAAGATGAATTTTATCATTGACTGCATCACAAAAAAATCGAACATAACGATAGCAAAGTAACTATGGCTTTTTGAAAAAAAACAAACTGTCACACTTAATAATTGTCGATTGTTAGTTTTTCGTATTTGTCTTTACTTTACCGTGATAAAACAAAAAGAAACAGAGAGTTAGTAAAAGAAATACAATTTCTTTTTTTTAATGCTAAAAAGCAAACAAGAAAATTGCTCGATCACCATATGATGAATGCCATCTAAAAGCTTTAATGCATCATTTTTCGTTTGTTAATTGTCTGTTTATTATTTTTGCATCTATATACATCAATCTTCAACACATACACACATTTAGTTTGTTATTAACCGTTTCGTCTCTAGACACACAACGAGTTGCACACAATGGCAGTAAGTTAAAAGAAAAAGAAATTTTTATATATGATAATTAATCTAAACCTATATCTTCTTTTCAGACAACAGAGACAACACCTCGTTATCGAAATTTTTCAAATAATATGCCATCACCATTAAATTCAAATCCTCATGCATCATCATTAATAACTGTTGAAAAAGAACCTGAGCGTGATCCTGAATATGATTGTTTTATGTGTCGCCAAGCACATGTTTATATTAAACCAATTGGTATGCAACAAGAACGTCGTGTAGCACGTCATCATCCACCATCGTTATCACGTGCAGAAATAGATGCATTAAGTCGAAAGAAAAATTTAACAAAACAAGAAGCAAGAAAATTATTACAATGTTATTTTCCTGAAATAAAAAATGTTAAATATTTTCAATTACACAAATATCATTCATGTTGTTATGATCCAAGACATTTAAATTTATGTAAAAATCATATAACTGCATTACAACATGAACGTGAACAATATTGTGATCATCATTATCAACATCAAAATCAATATGAAAATGATGAAAATCGTGATAAAGATTATGAAGGAGAAGACGAACCACATAATAGAGTTAGTTTTGTACGGTAAGATAAGAATTAATCTGTATAATACAATACAAAAGAATATTACAATGATTTTAGAATTAAAATTGAACCAACCAAAGGTATACCAACAAGATTTCTTGGTCCAGCAGCTTTGCCTGAATCACTTGCTAATATGCTTATCAAACAGGTATGTTACTTAATTTGAAAAAGTATTTTTTTTTAAATTAATTTCTTATTCAAAAATTTAGGTTAATCGTCTAGAAAATAAAAAGGTACCACCATCATTTAATTCAAATTATACAATAGAACCATATAATGTTAGACGAGTAAACATTCCTCATGGTAGGAAATCATTTGTTTCATAAACATTGTTTTTTTTGTTTTATATTAAATTTCTCTTGAATCTTATAAGTCAATTTTCATAAATCATTATTTCATTTAGGTTCAGATGATGATAATGATGAAGACGACGTCGATGATGATGATGATCAAACGACACATGTTAAAGGTAAAATAATGTCTGAATCAACTGTAAATTATGTAAATAATAAGCAAGAAAAACTAAAATTAGAAAAAAAATCAACAAATGGTGACTTAATAGTTGAAGATTTAGATGAATTAAATCGTTTATATATTAATCGTCAAAATCCAACAGATATTGATGAAAATCCAGATTTTTTTTCGAAACCATTAAAAAAGAAAAAACGAAAAAAAAGTACAAAGAAAAAAAATCTTCATGAAAATCCTAAATCAAAATTAAAACATTGGGAATTATTGGCATTAGAACAAAACAAAATAAAAGACACATGTAATTGTCGTCATCATGTTATGCATGTTGAAGATAATCAAGTTGTTTACGATTGGTGTCGATGTAAAGATCATCAACATAGAGAAATAATGGAAAGACGTAAATCAATTGCACCTCCACCACCATCACCACCTCCTCAACAATCAACTGCACCTCCTCCACCACCTCCACCAAAACCACGTCCAAAACCACATAAAGTACACAAAAAATCAATTGGTATCGATGCAACACAACCAACATCAACTGAAGTTGCCCTAGCTTATGATCCGTCGGCAGTTGATTATGATATGATTCAAGAAGTAATCTATTATCGAACAGCATCGGGACGATTGGTAAAATATTCTTTTTTTTTTTGTTCTGTTATATGTTTAAATATTCATTTTAATTTATTTATTTCTAGATCAAACCTGAAACAAGTAATGCTTTTACTTATGATAGTCTACCTTCATCAATGATGATCAATCATGAAGGACCAAGTCCAAATAAAGCTGAAGTTTTATATATGACACCTAATGGTAAATTACAACCACTCGAAGGTGGCGGACGGAATCGAGGAAAAAGTATGTTTGAAAGTCGGCTGTAACGTTTTCGCCAAAAAATGATATATATATATATATATCTGCGTGCCGTTCATAGGTGGCACTACCTTCGCTGCATTCTGCCATAATCATAGCGCCACCTATCAACGGTACGCAGTAGAATTCGATAGTGCATACACTATTAGATAGAGAAAGTCTTTCTCTTCATTTCTAGCAAAGACAATTATTCTATCAAAACCAGGTTCATTATATAATGGTGAAGCATTGATTGACACTAAACATACATCATCAAATAATCGAACTTCAAATACTATGCCTGTATTAAAATTACCCTCAACATCAAAATCATCAAGACAACATTCACGTGATAATAATAGGGAATATCAACCGACAGAATTTACATTGGCGACATTTTCTTCTGATAAAGCTGTAGGTACACCTGATTCACAACGAAATTTAAGAACTGTTCCAATGTTAATGCAAAAAGTTTGATTAAATTGATATCAAATGAGATATTGTTTCATTGTTTTATTTACTAGAGTACAAAACCAACTTATAGTAATCAAAATCCAACACCGGATTATGGACGTGAATCAAGTGTTGTTGCTAGTCGTCGTTGGTTTGATCAACCACTTGGTGATCAAAATTTACGTCCAGTACATGATGGTCAATATGGTTTAATTGCTGGTACATCAACAGATACATATCAAACTAAAGCTGAATTATCTGAAAATTATAATAATAATACAAAATCAAATGCACCAGTAAATATATGAATTAATTACAAAAAAAAAAAGAAAAAAGAAAAAAGTCAATTTTGTTTTTATTTTTCTAGAAAAATACAAGCAATTGCACAATATCATAATTATAAAAATTTATATTCGTTTTTTTTAAAGCAACCATATATAAAAATAATAAATATGACTTAGAGTTTTTTTTTCTCTTGCTCATTTTAAAACAAAAGTATAATAAATTTGCATTTATTCTATTGCTCGTGCTCATATAAGTTCTTTAATTGGTTGTCGAAATTATGCGCCGAAAAGAAGTTATTTAAAAACTAAATAATATTATATGATTAATATACATAGCTCGATAGGCAATGAAAAGATTATGATGAAAATATTTATATCGATTTAATCTATATTCACGAAAGAAGGAAGAATCCCCTACCTTTTGATTATCTTGCAGTATGAGACACTTCCTAGCAGCAGATTTAATAGCTCAATATCTTTCCTACAACTAATACTAGCTGTAGCTCTAGACAGAAGTTCAGCCTGATGCAGAGTTCTTGCGCTCAATTGCTTGAATTCTCCAGGTGCACGAACGAACCATAAGAGCATCTGTATGTTACAGCATAGTCAGCATGCTATCGGACGAATGATGCGAGACTGGCAGCTGTTAGTGACTTGTTCCGGATCATTTCATGATTGGTAATACTAAGGTTAGAACACACTACATTGTGAATATATGTCGAACAACGCTGGTACTCATGAGAGAACTATTCGAACTAGACCTCGCCGTTTGAACTCATATCGAGTCCATAACAAAATCTTGATGAAGCTAGAAAAAAATTTAAAAGCATTCGCACTCTTGGGCCTCTGGTGCCAAGGTATGACTGTTTTACTGCATTTTCGACCCATTTTTAGGTATGTACTGAAAAATAGAGTAATGATATTTTGACCTGAAATCCAGCCCATAGAGTAGATCTAATGATCCTTAGAAATTTCCTGAAAGTTTCAGTTGAAAAAAATGTTCCTCTGTCAACATATTGAATTTCCACATAAACTTGATTATTGTTATATGTCTGTGGCCAGCAATCATTTGTTAGAAATTCAATATCTTGACAAAGAAACATTCTTTTCGACTGAAACTTTCATGATATTCTAAGAATCATTAGACCTATCTATGGGCTGAATCTCAGGTCGAATAAAATGGTCATGATTCGGCTTCAATAGTCTATAGGCACGAACTCTTCTAAAGTTTTTCTAGCTTTATCGAGACTTCGTTATAGGCTAAATATGAGTTCAAACGTCGAATTACAGTTGAAATAGCTCTCTTGTCAGCCATGACGACTATCTACATTCAAACTGTTCCAGAAATGTCACTGGTACAGAATGTATAAGAAATATAATCGAACATATTATACTATGATTATATCATAAATGTATTTTTGATGATATTAATCGTAAACATTTGGCACATTGTTGTATTAAATAGATGATTAAATATATTTAACATATTCATTATTATCACAAAAATGATGAATATGAATATAAAAATGTGTCAATCTATCAATAAATAAAGCAAAAGATGTTGATAATATGAATAATGTTCCGCTAATTGATTTAGTTATAATTTGATTTTCAGTTTTTGATGTTGATAATTGACATAACAAAAAAAAAATGTGAATCAAATATAACAAGACATGTTATACATAAAATTTATGTTTAGCACGTAATATCAAATATTATATGATGATAATTTGTTAATACGTGTGTTGTGTGTAATGTAATTATCGTCTTTTTTTTTTTTATTAATGGTTACATTGATAAAGTTTGACGTGCTCAATCTAATGCTATTAATGCTAAAAGACAAGAAGAAAATTATAATTATGCATATGTTGTAAATCGATGAACACGATATATAAATAATATTGTAGCACGTTTATGAAAACCTAACAGAAAAAAAGAAAATAATTTTAGTTTTTAAATATGTTTGTCTTTTGTCATCTAATCTATAAGTACTAATACTAATAAAAGAGCATCTGTATATATTGTTGCTATAATAAAAGAAATAAAAAAAAGAAGGTTATGTGATGAACATATACAGTGCACAAATGCAAATATTTCTCTGTAAGACTCCTCTACAAAAAGAAATATAAATAAAAGTAGACTAGAAAAAGTTTATGAAACAATACAGGATGTTCTAATAGTCTGCCGAACAAAAAAGAACGTGAATAACTTTTGAACAATTGAAGCATTATCCGTGAGCTTTGAAATAATTTTATGTCATGTTTATTAAAAATTTTTATTTCACATCACTTTATTTGTGTCTTAGATAACTCAAATTTGGCGACGAATAGAATAATCTAGATTCTAATGTTCATAAGCCCCCATGACTAAGTGACTATGTTGTTCGACACGTACCCATAAGGTACTACTGTGTACGGGGAGCTCAAGCAATCGAGTACAAGAAGTTTGGGTCAGATTGTCCTCTATCTAAAGCTACAGCTAATATTAGTTGTAGAGAACATACTGAGCTACTGAATCTGCCACTCGGTAGTATGTCATACTGCAAGGTAGTCGAAAGGCAAGGTTATTCTTTCTCTTCCTTCCTAATGTTCATAGGTACAGCCATTTTATGTGAAACATACCTAATAAAACTTAGGTGAGTATGGAATCAAACAACGAAAGAAACATGTAAATAGATTCAACTACTGAAGTGTTATGGAATTTTTAAATAAACATACTTTCTAAGAGAATAATAAATTGAATCGATTTTATTCTTTATATTTTAAAATATACATATAACAGTTGTTCACTGTTTTATAGGCAATCATTAGTTTTTTTCCATCATTATTAAAAAAAAAGAACATAAGCTATAAAAAGTTCTAACATTCATAATTCGTTTTACACTTCAATATGAATAAAAATATTGTCATTATTAGCTATAGTTTTTTACAAAATTTAAAGAAAAGTATTTTATTTATAAATATAATGTGCATACATAATGAGAAAAGTTGTTTTAAATAATTGTTATTATGAATTCTGCACATGCCTATGTATTTATTATTTGTTTTGTTGAATACAAAAAAAAAAAATTTCGAAGACTAAATGCTCTTTAGGAGTGTATCAGTTTTGAGCGTTTTCGATAAGAACTATGGTAATTATAATTATTTCTTTTATAAACTCAATATGAAAACTAATAATGTATATCAACGTAGTTTTTCATACTCTACAAAATTCCATATCGATTAGTTTATGCAGAGTCAGACGTCTGACCCTGCATAAACTGAATAATATGTCATTTTGTGGAATAGAAAAAACTACATTGATCTACGTATTTAATCTTCATATTTGGTTTATAATAGAAAAGTTACGGGTAATATGATTATCATTCGAAACGTCCAAAAGTGATAGACTCTTTAGGACTATTTAGTTTACAAAAACAGTTTTCTTTTGGCTTCAGCTAAAAACAAAATAAAAAGATGGGAATGTGTAGAATTTCATGTTCTATCTCTCTATTCTATTGAAAATGAGATCTATGTGAGTGTTTTTTTGGTACTCTGTTTTCCGTATGTCACACGATCTTGGTTGGGTACCTTACTGAGAATTGTCTCAGTATATAGATACCTGTCCAATTTCTACACTCTTCTATGAAAAATCTTTTAACAAGTTAGTAGATTGGATATTTAGAAACAATTTATAGTCAAGTATTAAAAACCCATAAAGTATCCAGAGATTTCTATGACATTCTGATAACGGTATACCATTGTGGATACTCTGTATTTAATAGATTCATTAGGGTATCCGATGGTGTCCTCTCTGATATAAGAGAAAATTTATTTTATCTATATTGACACTACTATCATCTTCATTGAACTCTATAGTAAACAAGGAAGATCTTTATTGAAACGATTTCCTCCATAGGCAATCAACTAATCTTTCTAAATTTCCGTTTATTTATTAATCTCATTATAGTTATAATCAAAACTATTGCATGTTCAACAAAGTATATATAATATTGAAGTAAAATTAATTAGTATATTTTATAATAAATCCATCATGAATTGACATTTATTAAATCATACATAAATATAAAATTTGATTTACACACTAGTGAATAAATCAATGAATTGTCTCAAAAGCAGCTGATTTTTTTTCCTCTATTAATTAAAAAATATCTCAAGAGATTTAACCATGAGAATTTTTTGTTTCAACTATGATAGAGGCTAAAACTTTTATTCAAAAATTTAGTTATATATATGTCTTTAAATATGAATGTAACACGTTGAAATGTTAATAATCACAATAATAATATAAAAAGAAATTATTGTATTTATTCAAGACAATTTTTTTTCGCTACAATGTATTTGAACAATAATCGTAAATTAGCAGTTTTCAATCGGATACACCTGATCTCATTTCCGTTTATACGGAACGAGAATAGATCTATTTTAGATTTATCATCTCATCAAGAGTTCTTTTTTATCTTTTGTATTTCTAGAATCTGTTTTATTATTGACATGTCTTAAAAATTGATTTGATTCACAATAGCCTATATCCTGTAGTAAATTAACTTGTTGATTGAATATTTGTATTTATTGTTTTTCTCTTGAGAATAAATTTATATGTAGGTGTAAATATAGAAAAAAAAAAGAAAGAATATCATATAATAAGAGTTTAGGAACAATGGAATTAGCAGATGCAAGTGAATGACATTTTTCTTCTCGTGTCAAAATAGATTCTTTTTTTTTCTATACATTTTTTTTCAAGCTTTGTTAATTCCAAAAGTTTATTAAATGAATTTTCAATTAATAGAAAAAAAAAAGGAAAGCGCATACTTAAAAGTTACTAATTAAACTTTCGCTTTATTGAATAAAGAAAAAAAAAGAAAAAAGATTAGACGACTTTTTTGTTTCTAAGGAAATATGAATCAATAAGTAAAGTTATATAATTGATAGATTTAATAATCGTTAACTGAGGAAGGAAAAGAAGCTGTTTCATATGCTAACATATTAATTCAATACTTCGGCGTTGTTATTTAATAATTGATTTTTTTTTTTTCGTTTAATGTTTGTGCTTTCTACAAATAGAACAGTCAATAAAGCTTTCAAGTTTATTCTTCAATACTTTTCTCGATTTT